GCAGTATTATGTATCTGTTCTTGTATAATTTATTATTATGGATGATGATTTTATTTTTGTTGCGGTTGTATATTTTGTATGCCTTTCGATTTGCGTTATGGATGAAATGATATGGATACTGTAAGTTTTTGAGTGTGTTTTCTATACATGTTTTTTTTTTTGGTAAATATTAGGGGCTGCAAATTGTTAATGCTCTTAAATTAAAACCTATAATTATACCAGATTTAATTCTACATGAGTGGTTTGAGTAGAAGCTGGCCAGGTCTTTTTGTTGGTAGCTTTTCTATAACCATCAAAATTAAGTTCGTTATTGTTTTTTGTGTAACATAATATCTAGGAAACGAAAACTGTGGTTGGTTTCAGTTTCATAGATGAAGACTGTTGTACGTTCAATGTTGTTCAGTTGTTTTTTGTTTTTTAGGAGGTCACCTGAATTTTTTGTGATGAACTAATCTATATATATATGTGTGTGTGTGTGTGTGTGTGTGTGTGTGTGTGTGCGCGCACGCATGTGTTATATTTAATAATATATGCTTAAATAATGATCTGCTGCCCAATACACTAAATTTAAGTTACATGATGCCGCAGCATTAAACGATCCCATCGCCAAGAAATTTCAATGGAACCTCATTAAACGACAAACAGGAATTACAACAGCTCAACACTGAAATCGTACGTATTAAAGGAATCTTACAATCTTCTACCACAACTGAAAAATTCAATGAAATATTGGATTTATTATATAATACAACACAAAAGGAAAATGAATCCCATAAACAAGTCATCCAAAAAAGCTAAATAAATTATATAAGGGAAAAATATTTCTACCAAACATCACCACCAACAACTTCATTAACCTCTCGGATTACCAATTCACTCCAAACAACCACATAATCGCATCTTTCGATATACAAAATTTATTTACTAATCTATCGATGAAACGATTGATATCATTATCTGTGATGTATACAATAACATTTCTCTCCCACCTATCAATATCAAACCCATTACTTAAAAAATATATATATTAGCATGTATCACTCAAGTACCTTTTCATGAATCCCTAGGCAATATTTATACTCAAATAGACGGTATCGCGATGGGATCTCCTTTAGGCCCCTTTTTTCTCATTATATCACACATTTAGAAAATAAAATGCTTAATGACACTAATAAACCTCCTATATATGTAAGACACATAGATGACATTTTCATTTTAGCTAAAAAATTGATCAAATTACAACTTAAAAACAAATTTGAAAGTCACTCCGTCCTCAAATTTACACTAGAATTTAATATTAATAATAAAATTCCATTCCTTAATGTACTAATTGATTCCAGTACACATAAATTTACTACTTCTCAATATAGAAAACCCACAAGTATTAACTTGTCTTCTTAATTATAATAGTGAATTCCCCAACGATATAAGTTAACCGTTATAAAAAAGAAACTTAATCCAACGAACATAAATATCTTCTTCCAAAACCATATTCTATAAACTATTACATAACATTATTAAACAAACACTTGCTAATAAAGGATTTTTTAAATTCTGTCATTGATCAACAGATTAAAGTTTATCTCAATAAACTCAATAATACCTCTACCAAAATTGATAATATTAATAATAATAGTGTACGTCAAAATAAACATAACACTATTAACTTATACTATTTTAACCAAATGCATAATAATTGCAAACATGATGAAACAACACGCAGAAACATAATAAGTAGAAATGTGAAACCCATTAATAATAAAAATAAGTTAAGCTCATCATATATTATAAAAATATTAAAACAGATGATCTCATAGACTCTAATAACCCTACAACCAAATATTCCACTAAAAACCAGTTTATATGCCCGTTCAGAGCTAACCCCTAGACATACCTGTCACCCTTCTGATCCACAAAACAAAGGAACCCACACTCAACAAAATTACATTTCAAACCAGTCACAACATATTAAAATGCATTTAAACACATTTCTGTTAATAACACTTCTTTGTCTCACGTGGTCTTGTACGACGTCATAGTACCGCATTATGAATTTAAGACCTGAGTGGGCTGTTCTGCGACCGTTACCATCGTATTGCGAACTTCTATGTAAATATTAACAAGATGACATCTTTGATGGTGAACATCTCTGTTAGTAATGTCCATACAATCACTCTGATGAGGACTCGCATGAGCCGAAAGCTTAGATCTAGGAACAGCATAATAAAAAAAAATATCCAAATGTTGGACAGTTTTTGTCTTTATTTTCTCCCGAAACTAAAGCTAATATAAGAATTTTAAAAAGGCTCACGAACAAGCATAATATACATTCGTTATGTGTTATACACACACACACACACATATATTTTGGAATAACTTATTTTTATATAAAACTAAAATTTAAAAATAAATTATTCCAAAATTCGCTTGAAGATGAAACAGAACTAATGCTTTTAATTTAATTATATAATTAAAATTGAAGTTTTTAGCTTCACTTTTTTGAAACATGGTAATTTCTGTGTAGCGAAGGAACCATATTTTTAAATCAGTTAATTTATATGTATATATATATATATATATATATATGTGTGTGTGTATGTATATATATGTATGTATGTATATATATAAATATACATATATATATATATATATGCATATGCATGTTTACACATATATATATAGGAAATGGATTAAATCTGACATTGTTAATTTATTTTGTTATTTTTGACATGTACTCATATTCGGGTAGAAGCTCTGTTTATTAATTAAACAGTACACTTTAATTAAACTATATTTTTTATAGATCTAAAAAACTGTTTAAACAAAATAATTTATTATATATATAGCTTTATAATCACTGGCATTTTTCAGTTGCATTGAAACTATTTCCACATAGTTTAGACTGATAATTTTAATTTTTATTAATCATTTCACCCCAAGCAAGGAAAGAAAGTTACTAAGGCACTGAAGAGTTACTGAGTATGAAATAATATGAGTAACAGAAACATTATTAAGGAGAGAGAAAAAATAAAAATAATTATGAAGAAAGAAGACAATAGATTGACATTGCGTCTAAATTTCTGGAGATCAAAGTTGACTTTAATGCAAAAAGCATGATGAGTTTCACAAGCGTGAAGTGCGAGAGAAGAAACTGTTAACATAGAACTTACAGTTGCATCTAAGCATTTCACCTGTAAAATGATGAGACCTTGCTGACAAATATTGCAATGGTAAGGAATCGTCTCTTTAACCATCAGAATATGTCTTATTAATTTATTGAAAGTTCCAAAGTTCTTCTTCAGAGTAATTTCTGCTAAAATTCCACTCAATTAATAAAATAAAAGGCCAAGAAGAATGTAATGGGCATCTTTTCTTTCTTTCTTTCTTTTAAAACTAGATACATAGCTGAAATATAGGAGAAACATGATCTCAGAACTTATTTTTAGTGCATACGAATAGATGCTCCAAGTATACTTATTTTCATCTACTGGTCTGCATATTTGAGAACGGAGAATGTACATCTCGGCAGCATTCAAACCTATGTCCCCCTTTGCAGGAGAAACCAGCAACGTGTCCAGCATGCTTTGATCAGTGGATGAAATAGTTTGAGGTGATAAAAATATGCCAGATTAAAAATTTAAATTAGAAATATATGAACTGCATATAGCAGACGAATGGGAGGTAATTGACTGAAAAAATTATAAACAAAGAACTACCTAATACATTTCATCCTTCAAAAGGACTTCATCAAATTAGAATGAAATAAGATTTAATTAATGCAAAACAAAATATCAATTATATTATATTAATATTATTAATAATATTATTATATAATATTAATATATATAATATTATATAATTATTATCTTATAAATTATAAAAAATATCATAGGTGAAATTTCCAGGAATTTAAAAAAAATATATACAAAAAAGATCTTTTACAAAGCAACACATTCAATACATAAGTCGATTACTGTAATAAATGTGAACATGATTTCAACTTAATGAATGCAGTTTTAATTAAAAGTGGCAGTAATTCACTAAGATAATACTGTATAGAAAATACACTAATTTCTGAATCTTCCATAACAAATTTGCATCTGGGTTCATACCATATTTCCCCTTTCTTTCTGCTTATCACAATGCGCAAGATATTTACAAACAGCATCAGGAAGCTGAATCAAGTCAGCTAAGCATTATGCCGAAACATGCCCAGGGGGGGGATGTTGGTCAGAAATTTAAAGATTAGCATTCCTACATCTTTAGCATTTCCTGCAAATGTATAATTACAAACTTTTGTTTATATATTCATCCCCCCCTCCGCACACACCTCATATATAAATATTTTTATAGTAATTGTTCTGATGAATCTTCAGCTATGGTACCTAGACTTTACGAATTTAAACACAGTACTTGATTGGTGAGAAGGTCTCATCATTTTACCATTGAAATGGCTGGTAGATGGAACCGTAAGTTCTATGCTAACAGTTTCTTCTATTGCACTTCTCACTTGCAGAACTCTCTTCTGGCTTCTAGCTTCCCAATAAACTTTGATTTTCAAACGTTTAAATGCAATGTCAATGGTTGGCTTCTGTCTTTTTAATTCTTGTTCTTTGTCTCCTCTCTCCTTAATAGTAGTTTTTCTCATATTCTCTCAGTAAACCCTTGTGTCTTAGTGGCTTTATTGCCTTCCTTGGGGTGAAATGATTAAAAAGAAAAAAAAAAATTTAATCTGATGAAGTTGTCCTGAGTAACAAAATGCATAATTTTTTTTTTTTTTTTTTTGCTTGATTGTGTGAGTGTCTTTTTTAACAGCTTATCAATTTTTGGGAGCTAATAATGACTTATCGATACAAGTCTTACTAATTAACCCATAGCAAGGGAGAAGAAGAGGTGGATTCATAACTTTACCAAGGGTATTTGCATAGAAGTCAATATAATGAAAGTGACTGAATTGGAACTCCACTATGATTATCCATTGCACCATCTGCACATCCAAGCTTTCAGCACTGAGTGTTCCCAAGCAGTCACCAATCCAGGTACTGACCAGTCTCAATGTTACTTAACTTCAGTGATCATACAAGAAGTAGTGCTTCAATGTGACATGGCTGTAAACCCCCTTTTTTTTATTTTATTATTCAATTATGTATACAAAGGTAATTTAAAAAGTCCTTGCTGATCTTTTAATTAAAACGGATTTAATTGTAAAAAAATACACAGCAAATCAAAATGAAGAGAAAAGTGTCAGAATCTTATACTCAGTCCTCCCTTCTTAATTCTGGTTTTCCAACCTTTGAATGAGAACTTGTCATCATTGGAGTTCTGCCATCCCTTCTATCACCCTCTGCCCCTTCATGAAATCTGTCAGCATTCTGGGAACCAGCTTTTCACAATCTTAAAAATAATCAAAAGACTTTCTTAAATTACAGGCACTATCATAACTCACCCAAAACCTTTCACATTTTGAAATAGTGATTCTTCTGTCGGCCTGTTTAGCCTTATCCTCATTCACAGCAGCTAACCTGGCCCTGTACAACCTATCACTAAGATCCCTTTCTCTTTTTCTTCTAGGATTACCATTAATTCTACCGGCACATCAAGTACTGCCTTTTCTTAAACATTAACTAACCACCAGTAAATGTTTGCAGCATCTACTTCCAAAACCAGAAAATCTATGACAGATCTTTGTTTTCTTTATATATATCCAGAGGTGCAGTGAATTGAAATAACATTATGGGTAAGTAAAGAGAAAATAACTCCACTAAGTTTTCCCCAAGGCTTCTAGACACCTTAGGTTCTATAATTCAGTAACTATGTAAGAATTCTGATGCTTTTAAAACTTAATCCAGACAGGCATTACATTTTGACCTACCCTCATATTTCATGCTGAGAGGTAAATCAGTATACCTACATTCATTCCTTAAAATAAAAAAATAAAAATAAAAAAAAAAACAACATGCAAGAAATTTTATCAAATACGAAGCAAATATAATTGGGTAAATATTTTCGGAGAAAAAGAAAAAAAGGTTTTATAAAGAAAAATTTATTACTGAACTGTATGATTTTTCTTCTTGCTTAAGATATGGCAGGTAAAAAAGAAAATTGCAATTCTTAAAAATTTCAAAAGTGAAAAGAAACTGTTTTAAAAAAAATAGTAACAATTTTGTAAAAAAAAAAAAAAAATCTTCAAAAATCCCACCAAAGTTTTGTTCCATAATCTGCCAAGATAGGCAAAACTAGCACCAAAAAGAATCACTTTATCTATGGTACATCAACAAATATTTAGATTTGCACTAAATCTTTCCCACTCAGCTTCCATCTGTATACTTCTAAAATCAACAGAGATGGGATTTGGAATGTACAGCATTACTTCAAAAGGAAGTCAACAATTCACCTCTAAAACTCCAGAGAAAATAAATCCATGAAAATCTTTAAGAATCAAAAGAGAGAAAAAAAAAAAAAAAAAAGTATTCTTTTAAATTCTGGCCATTCCTTACAGCAAATAAAAATGATTTCAAAGTGTGATGGTTTTTATTTTTAAGGTTGACCCCAAAAATATTAATAAAAATAAAATAGATAACATTAAGAAAATATAAATAACTTTCTTTAAAAAGCATCAACAGTACTCATGGAAAAAGACTGAATATTAAGGTTTATATATATATATATATATATATATATATATATATATGAGAGAGAGATTGTGTGTTATAAACTCAACATCCAAAGTCTTAAATTATCCATGTTATCAATACAAGTCAAGGTAAAAAAAAAAAAATTATGAGACAAGGAAGAATGTTTTTAAAGAAAGTTAAGCAAAGACAGATTGAAATTTCATTTAAACAGAAATTTTCTACACCCAAAGCAGATGGAAATATTTGTCTAAATATTTACACATAAAGAAGTGAATATATTCTGAAATTTTCATTATTTCACAAATTCTCCAGACAAGTATCTGCATCCTTGTTGTTTTTATCATTTCATTTCTGTTGATTTTTGATTGGACATTTCTTCATCTTTGTGTTGTTTTTGATCAAAACATTCAAATACCTTTGCATGCATTTAAGCAAGCAGCATCAAGTAAGAATTAAATATTAGTTTATCATCTATCAGGAGCTCATCTTTCATGGATTAGGCTTTAATTCAGCCATATATGTGACTGTAAATTTGTGCCCTGTTTAATAACAGATTTCTATGGCTGAATTGGTTATGGTGCTCTCCATTAAAGACAAAAATTTTCATTTCTTGTTAATAGATAGTCCTCAAGATGGATATCAAGGCACATCCTACAGGCAGTCGTAATCCAGGAATCAGTCTAAAATCTTCCAGCTTTAGAAGCAGATTTTCTTATTACATATATGAAATACTGACAATCCCATTTTTTTTTCATTTATGGAAGATCATGTATGGATTTTTGTTTCTCTGGGAAGAAATTAAGATAAAAGAAGCAATATATATGAGACAAAGAGAAAAAACCTAGACATACAACATACAGTTCAATACAATATGGCACCAGGTAGCCTCACTAGTCATTCAAGTTCTCCTTTTTTCTTTTCTTTTTTTTTTCCAGTATAATCCCAGATTTACTCGTTTGCAGGTATCTTTAACCCTGTGTTAATCACAGGAGGTGGTTTGTTACCCCACAAAATTTTTAAAGTACTTATAAATCCTAGTTGGCAACTTGTTTCTTTTGCTCCCTCCCACTACTGTCCTGACTCAATGAGGGTGTGTAGCATGGGGTGTGGCACAGTTGTAACTCAGTTGCCTTGGGAGGCAGACACCTGGAGACTATCCATTTTCAGAAATCCGAGTTGATCAATGCAGGGTTAATTGCCAGAAACATGTTTCAAACCTGACTAAAAAAATTATAAACTTGAAAAAAAAAATGAATAAATAAATAAAAAATAAAAAAAATAAAATTTTAAAAAATAAAATAAAAACAAGAAACACAGAAGCTTAAAAATAGGGATAAAAAAAAAAAAAGAAAAAGAAAAAAAAAGTCATTTGTAATTTTGAACAAAATAAGTGTTCAAATGTGGTTAACATTTTTTGGAGGAATACACCTGATGTTCAAGTCTTCATTTTTCTGAAATCTTTTATAGAAAGAAGCATTTTCACTGTTATTATTTTCATTATTTTAGTACAAATTGCCTTTTTTTATTAATTTTTATCCTAACTATGGGTTGATACACTTTTCATTGTTGTTGTTATTACTTATTATTATTTTGGATTGACATATTGTACAAACTCTCAATGTTTAATCGACAAGAATTCTTTTAAAAAAGCTTAAGACTTACTCAGTAAACAAAAAAATAAAAAATGCTATAAAGAATCAAAGAAGATGGGAAAATGACTACAGATTTAGGTCCACTTAAAGGTTAAAGATTCTGTGACAAAAATGGTAAAATCAACGTCCATGAGAGACAGGTTCCTGACAGAATACATGTCTTTTTAGAAGACACTTCATTATTTCTAATTTCAAAATGTTTTTATAAGTCAACACTGACCGTTGTGATTTAAGGAAACAAGACGGAGTAAAACTAATCCTAAAATAATAATAGTGAAAATAATAAAGATCTAAGAATATCAATCAGTAAAAGAAAGAAGCAGAAATTCAAAGGAGACACAAAAATGGCTCATTCTTCCTTATCTAAGAATTTATTTCTGTAAATGTGTATATTCACACATTCAGATTTTGTATTTATGTTGTCAATGTATTTATTAATATATCTCTCCATGGTAACATGTAATGCACAAGAGAGAATATACATATAATATCCATGTTGTAAATGTAAACATATACATTTTTTTTTTCAATTATGTATTTTAACATACATCATTGTCAAAAGATCCTTACTTTCTAAGTATTTATTTTTATTCGTCTATGCACCGCAACTAAATGTAGAAGAAAACAAATTCCCATTTCCTTCTGATGTATACATTTCCATTTCAGTCTTTCATTAAAAGACAAAAATAAAAACAAAAAAAAAAGCATGAAAACCTTTTGTCAAACAACTGACAACAGACATATGATTGTTGTATATGCATGGTATAACTTGGGTAACATCCGTTCGCTATTAGGCATACTGTGTACTGGGGGTTCTCCATCTTTGGGGAGGTAGGTGAAACCAACTTCACCGTTTCCAAAAAAGCCAAGCAATGGTGTCTTGGGGAAGAATTTTCTAAAGACATCAGCTTCCACATTGGAGATGCCATAGTGAGTTGAACCTCGTCCAATGCAAGCAAACATGAATGCAAAGCTCTGTTCTTCAGAAAGCTTGCAATTTTTTAATTGTCGTATGGTGGCTTCGACTTCTTTTCTGTTGTTCACATGTTCCTCAATGATGATTGATGCCACTTTCAACCGGGGACCACTGAATGCGATACACTGCAATGAGGGATCCGAAAGCCTGAAAGAAAAAAAGAAGGAACTGTCAAAGAAATGATAAACAGAGGAAATATCTTTTTTCAGAAAATTTTTTCATTTGTCACTGAAGACATTAAAAAACAAAACAAAAAGTACAATACAGCCATTCCTCATTGAATGACCTTCCCTGTTTAACGACTCCCACCATGAACTTATGATCTCCCATGAAATCTCATAAAATAAAATAAAAAATTTCTTGTTATATTTATAATTTTTTATTGATCATTTTCTTTTTCTTCAAAATATATAAAGTGAAAAAAAAAAAAAATATTTACGTGTTCTGTATTTACAGTATGCAAACCAAAGTAATGTACAGAATTTAAAATATTACAGCCACTCGTATCCAAGGATATCTGTCTGCTAGGGCAGATATCTAATCCCTGTTGCAGATGCCCGTTCAGGCTCATTTGTGTTTATTCAACACCCACAAAGCCCATCTGGGGTTTATACTGCAACTATGTTGAGCAGACCTTAGTTATAGTTTCTAGGAGAGTGTGTGTTTATCTAACATAATCAACAATTTGAACATGGCCAGCGCACTAAAACTCCGAGTCATGATGATTTGTGACTTGATGCTAACACAATCAGCAATGGCTCCCAAGGGTTCTGTCTACCCAATTTTCACCCACATGGCTTGGGTCAACCCTTGGTATGGTTTTCAGGCACTTTCCAGAGGTACCACACACTGCATTCACATCCATCAATAACATCAAGTTATTGACAAATCGACTATGATGGGATTTGAACCTGGATCTCATGATCAGAAAGCGAACATTCTAACCAATCGGCCATGTACCAATTGTACCAAATATAAAGCAGATTTTTGATTTTGTTATTATGTTTACTGTTCATTACACTAGTGTATAGACATTTAGAAATAAATTAGTAATGTTACAAATGGCACAAAAGCGACAATAAAATTAACCTGAAGATGGTTGATAATAACCTATTACATGCATAACATGATATAACGATCAGATACAACTTTGCACTTAGAGGCCAGCTTGTTCAAACAGAACAGTCATTAAATGAAGAGCAGTTTTATTTAATAGAAAAATGGACTATATTTGATTGCATACAAAACAGCCTTTGACCTAAAGTGAACATTACATCCTCCTTAAAATTCCAAACCTTTCAAACATTTATTGAACCAGTCCTACATGTATGGATCTGAAACTTGGATATTAGCTGTTTGTTGTGAAAGCCAAGAAAAATTAATATAAGGAATAACTAATTATAATTTTTTGAAAAAAAATCTATTTGCTCAGCATCTTTCGTTTGCACTTGCCACATAAATTCACTAAAATAGTTTTTTATAGTTATTCAATGGTAAATAAGAAATACTGCATTGTACTTGGTTCACATATTTTATAATCTTATAAATAAACATTTCCAAGGGAGTGTAAAGTGTATACAATAATATCAGTGTCAAGGGAATAACCATCCTTTTGACACAGTTCTTTTGTGGGCATACAAAGGCTAAACATTGGTGAATTTATAACGAGAAAGACCTGTGAAAATTTCACAGTTTGCCTGTCTGAATTTTCTGATGATTCATAATTCTTAGTTATTGAATAAGTACATTGCTAAGTTCTACGACAATAAAACATCCATAGAAATTCCGCTATTGCATCGTTAAATACTTGAGCTTAACAACTTTTAACAAAATATTTTAATAGCAATTATTAATATGAATGCTGGTTTTTATTTTAAGAAGTAAGAAGATACAAATGAAAAGATTTGAAATTGACAATTTTTTTCTATTTCACTAGAACAGCTGTTACACACTTTTTTTCTTTCTTTCATTGAAACCAAGTAGTGTCTTTAATGTCTTGTTTTCTCAATTGATCAAAACAGAATAATCCATTATTTATGAGGTACTGGCAGGGCGTAACGGTCGTCCAAACTAATAAAGTACAATTAGAATAGGACTATTTGTAAATAAAGGGAGACAACTCTGTAATTAGCCAATCCCGAATTATGTTTCAAATTAGCTTCACTTTCATATCTGTTAATCCTTAGTCAGGAGTTGAGTGTCTTTTAAAGTGTCTTTTAAAATTAATGTTCATAGTTTACAAAAATTGCATTTTGTAAAAAAAAAAAAATGTCCATAATGGAAAAGAAAAAAAGACGAATCATTTTTTGCAGAAAATAATTCTCATAAAACAATTATTTTTTTGATATAATTTTTTTTTTTTTAAAATCAACACAAAACTTGGATCATGTTGGTTTAGAGCGACACCACAATATCAATTTACAAATCGGAGTGGAAATTGCTTTATTCATAATGGTATTGCTCTAAAAAATATCTTGCCATGATTTGCCATTTTTGCTGTTAGGATAATGTACTCATAAACAGAAATGAGATCATTATTATACAATCATGTTATATTTCCATCATTTTAATATATCCTGAACATTTTATCAACATTGATGGCTCAATACTAATTTCATTATGAAAACAACAACTAGCATAATAAAATCAGATAGCATATATTAAGTATTTATTGCATTTTCCAGTGTATATATGTTTGTACAGCTGTGTATCATTTTATATTTAAGTGCTCCTGATTCAGTGGTTTATACCAAATTTTTTGCAGTGAACAATTATTATAATAGACTGTTGTCCTCATCTTGGTTGTTACAGCCACAATGTTTCAGCCATTGTAACCTCATTCAGGTGTGTATGATGTAATTGGTAAACCTTTTGGAGATTTCAAAGTAAAACCCTTTTTTATTCTATCCACCAAGTAGACCTTTTTTTTTTTCATTCATTCCACTATCCATGCAAGGGGAAATAACTCTTGACACTATATCGTCCTTATAATAATTTTTATCTTCTGAACCAGATTACATGACATCTTTTACACTAGCCCAGAGAATGAACTCTAAATTTATTGTAAATAAAATACAATTTTGGCACAGAGAATGAACTCCTGACCACCAGGTAATGAGATCTACTTAATTAACTATCTGCCTCATAGTTCAACAATGAGCCTAAAGTAATTCTTGCTGCATTGCATTATTCCTCTTCCAAAATTTCTGATTAAGCTAAATATAGAAACAACAAATTTATGCGGATTTTCCTACAAGCAAACAAATTACCCTAAAAATAGGTACCTCCACAGAAAACACAATACCTGAGGTTTAAAATGAATTTTTAAAATAGAAAAATCGTTCATGAAGCTTTCATTTTAGTTTTAATTTCAAGCCAATAGATAAAAATTTGACATTTCCAATAAGCAAAATACTTTGCTATATTTCAAAAACTAATTTAAATTGACTGGAAGTTGTTTGCTAATAAAAAATAACAAAAAAACAAAAAAAAAACTGATTTTAGCATCATTTTTAGCTACCAGCCATTAGAATGTAATTCTTTTTATGAAACTGTCTTCTAAATCTAAAATATACTTTGCTGAAACTTTATTTGATGAATATTAGATGATTTAAAGTTTAATTAATCAAATTTGAAACAATATTATTTACTTAAAGTAAATAATATAAAATCATACTTATTATAAAACCCAGGTTGTGTGTGTGTCTGTCTGTTCGTTTATATATTGGATCGGATTTCCTACATTTTTCAACCGATTTCAACAAAACTTCACAGGACTACATAAAATTACCTTGCAATGGTTCTGACAGCACCAAAAATTGGAAAAACACAATTGTCTTTGCATGAAATCGATTTGAAAACACAATTAAGAGGCATCACTGTCCTGAGAATGGAAGGGGGACAACTCATATCGAGTTATACTTATTATAAAACCCAGGTTGTTTGTGTGTGTGTGTGTGTGTGTTCATTTATATATGGGATCGGATTTCCTATATTTTTCAATCGATTTCAACAAAACTTCCCTTTTTTTTTGGCAGGTAGTGTTTCTTGCACACTTTTTTCTTTATTTTTACATTCAGAATGCTTTAAAAATTCCATTTACAAGACAATTATTTATAATAAAATTCTATTCAATCAGTAGACTCATAACGATTGAAAACAATGTTTTTGTTTGAGTTTGGGTTTGACCAATTCGTAAAAAAACAAAAAACAAAACAAAATAAAAAAAAAATAAAACTAATTAAGACATGGGTGTCCGTCAACCTTAAACAATAATCTTTGTCAATTTTATTTTTCAGTCTTTATGATGGTCGATACTTGATCTATCTCTTACTGTTACATCCCCAGGCAACGCCAGGCTCTACTACTAGTAAGTATAAAATATCACAGAAATGCATTTTTTTAACCCGACAGTTAACTGTTTATTTAAGGTGTTGATAGGTTTGACAGTTTGATGTCAAATTGATATTTATCTAATGTTATTCCATGGGAGCTTTCAGCATTAAAGTAACTGAATTAACCTGAGCACCTTTTATATATAATTTCTAAGTATTCAATAATCTTAAAAATTTAAGAAAATATTCTCTGTAATCTAATGTTTTATTGAATTTTAAATATTTTTGGCAGTAAATTTACTTTAGTTATCACTTTTATTTTCTGATAATGTCATGTAAGGTCGATTATATAAAAAAAAAAAAAAATCAGCACATTTATGCACAGGAAAAATAAATTCAAAATTCTTTTAAAAATATTGGTATTTGATGATTTGTACTATGCTTTTTGATTTATGATTAGTAAATATCGTTTTTACTTATGATAAGTCTTATACTTTTTATATTTATATTATGCACTTATTTTACTCGTAACAATATCATCTAAAAAGCTGAAATTAATACAGAATTTTAAAAGATTTAAACTTAATAAATTATTCTAATTAAAATTTCAAGAAATGAAAACAATTCTTATAAACTTCATTATTCCTTGAAAAAAAAAAAAAATTTTTTTAAGACAATAGTGTCCTTAAAATATTTTATTTATAAAAGCAATTAGAAACTTTTCTAATTAAATAATGACATAGTTTTATTGTATTTTTTATGATTCAGAGCAGATTTTTGGTAAATGGTATTCCTGTGACAAAAATAAATTGATTTAAATTCTCCAAGGCATCCTGCTTTTAAGTAATATAAATATGAAGAGGTTGGAATTTTAATTTCTCAAAATTTCATAAAATTAAATAAGTAGGATTAACAGATGTAAAAAAAAAAAAAAAAAAATTTTTACCAAGACGTTCATAAAAAAATAAAAAATAATTTAATTCATTTGTGAAGTCTTGAAAATTTAATTAAAATCTGACAATTATTTAATTTTTGAAAGTATTATAAAAAAAAAAAAAAAAAAAATGTATTTTTAATGCAAAATATGGACTAATTTTTGGTCCACCAAACATAAAAAAAACGATATTTAACCAAAATTTTAAATGTGCTAGAAAGGATGAAAAAATTTAATAAAATTATCAAAAAATCCTTTGGTCTTTCTTCTTAATATTAACAAACATATGGATGATAAAACTTTGTTTTTATTAAGTATGGGGACTTTTTTTTTTTAACATGGTCTGCTTGTTTTTAGCAAAGTTTTGGAGGTACCTACCTAAAAAAAAAAAAAAAAAAAAAAAAAAAAAAAAAATTTTCCTTGACACCAGAAATAAATTATTACATTATCTTTGACACTCAAAGCCAAAAAAGAAGAAAAAGGAATCGAGGGAGGAGGAGAAAAGAAAATGATATAAAGGAGAAATAACCACAACATTTGCCGCATACACAAAAACAATTTTTCTGTAAAAAAAAAAAAAAAAAAAAAAATATCAACCTAACATCAATAATAAGAGCTCCCAACTCACACACAAATTAATTAAATCAAATGTGGTCTAAAATTGATGAAAATTGAGAAATGCCTGACAAGTGGACTGAACAATTAAAAAAGTGTTTGTCTATGAAAATCCAAAATTGAGGTGTTGAATATAACATCAATCAGCTAAGTGACAAAATTTATATTTGCATTAATCATATATATACATATATAAAGGAATGGGTAGGATAAAAAAATGTACATACACCCACAAATACTTGCATGTATGAAAGTATATTTATTCCTCAGGTGTTATAAATACAGTGCTCCATGTTATGAAACAGAGCTATAAGTATATATTAGTGAATATATGTAATATCCAATATTGAAAACACTAATCGGAGTTTCTGCTTGAAACTCTGAGTAGTGTTACTGTTATATACTGTACCTATGAACACTAATGGGTATGTCCCAATAGTCATATGTTGGACACTATTGTAAATGGAGGGTTAATATGTTGTCTAAGTAGTCCACCACTAGAAGTGATTTACCTATTTCACGCCGCTGGCGAGTATTGTATTTTGTTGATGTAATAAAGATTACCATTTCATTTCCAACCTCCGTTTTGCTTATTCATCATTCAGTAACCTTTTCTGGGTTACAATATTTATCAACGTTGGATGTTATGTATATTCACTATAATATATATATATATATATATATATATATATATATAAATAATAGGAAAACAATAGGAAAGAACAATGAGATTTATAATTCAGAGTTCTTAGCATTTATTTTCATTTTTAAAAAACTGTGCTCCTTACACCCATAGAGCATAATATTATAATTGTTTTTTTTTAAAATATAGAATCATCACAAAAAAAAACAAGATTTGTAGATGTTTAAATGACCCATGTCCTTTGTGCATACTTGAAAAGTTAAAGATTAAGTTTCTGAAAAATAAAAATTTATTAAAATCAAAAAAATGAAATAGAAAGTTTTTGCAGACATTGCCAAATTTTTTCCTTAAATAATAGCTAATTTTTTTAAAAAATGAAACTAACATATTTATATTTGATCAGAAATAAAATAGTTTATGAATACATAATTAAATTCTAATATATTAATTCTAACATTAATATATATGTACTCAGTAAATAAATTAAATATAATATCTTAAGTCGGTACAAATAAAAATATAAATATTAAAAATGTGACTAAATAAAGGAGGCACGGTGGAGTAATAAATAGTGGCTCGGATTGAGGAATCGGAGAGCTGAGTTCAAATACCAGTTGAATCCATTACATTCACTTACATGCTAATACCCTTGGGAAAGATATGAATCTTCTTCTTCTCACCCTCCCAGTTATGGGTAAATAGCAGGACAGACTGGGTTTTATAGCCTTGGATGGCAACTGGTCTACCACAGAAAGAAATGGCAACCTACTGCGGGAAAAAATCTGCCTCATCAGTCATGTATTGAAAGATCCATGATTGCCTAAGTGCGTATCACTTATGGCATACAACTGACTAAATAATATTTGAATGCCCCTTTTGAAAAAATCATAATTGAAATTTATATAAAAATAAAAATTAAATTAAAAATAAAAATGCTAAATGTATTGCTATTGAGACCCAGACGATGTGTTGGAACATAAACACTACTACAAATTTCTATTTGAAAAAAAGGAAGTTTGGATCAATAGACAGGTACCACAGCCCCCAACTTGATAGCTACAATACATTACATACATGAGTTTTCTAAATAAGTTAAATTTTAACACCCTGAAATAAAAAAGATGGAATTTTCCTTAATCCCAACATCTCAAAATATCAAATTTGTCTGGATTTATAAATTAAGTAAATCAATTTTTAAAGTTATTCTTAGCATCACTTCATAATGGAATGGAATCTTATATTTTAAGTTAAATTTTTATGATTGAATTTGAAGTTTCAGTTTTGAAACATGGGAATTCTGATGTTGCAATGATTATACATTAAAAAAAAAAAAAAAAAAAAAATATATATATATATTATAAATTAATTGATTTAAAATATGGTTTTTTTCGCTACACAGTTCTAACCATGTTTCAAAAAAAAAAAAATGGAAGCTAAAAGCCACAAATTTAATTTTGTGATTAAATTAAAGACATTAGTTCCATTTCATCCTCAAGCGAATTTTGGACTCCAAAATTTGCTTGAGGATGAAATGGAACTAATGTCTTTAATTTAATTTAGTTAGAACTGTGTATCAAAAAAAACATATTTTAAATCAATTAATTTATAATATTAATGCTCGGTAAATTTACATTGAGCACTATTTTGTAAAAATAATAATATCTATAAGATATAAGCAATATCTTGCTGTTCTTTCTTTTTATATATATATATATATATATATATATATATATATATATATATATATATATATATATATATATATATATATATATATATATATATATATATATAACAAAGCAATAATGTGGGCACCTCAAGGTGGTGTAATGGTCAGCAAGCTTGTCTCGCTAGAACAATTGCGACTGAGTAGTGAGTTCAATCCTTACTGGGTGCCCCTTACTTTCAGCCTTGTGCCACATCCAAGCTACACTTGGTAAATCACTGGACACCTCAAGTGGTGTAATGGTTAGCAAGCTTGTCTCACTAGAACAATTATGAATGAGTAGCGAGTTCGATTCTCACTGGGTGCCCCTTACTTTCATCCTTGTGCCACATCCAATCTACACTTGGAAAATCACTATCAAAGCCATAATGTGAGAGAGAATTTTTTTAACTGTCTGTGTAGCAATAACATGTGGAAATATGTTGGAGGACCAAATACAATAACGAATGTTCCAGATATAAAGCTGGAATACTGAACTGAATTTTCGGTTTGAAATTTGCCACCAGAATTCCTAAAGGTGATCTAATCAATGCAATAATAAAAATCAGACAAAATGATACAGATTTCACCAAAGGCTTCATTCAAGGAATAATCACTGCCAATTTCTGCAACCACATCACTCCTTACATCTGCCCACCTAACTCCCCAGAATACACATATATATATATATATATATATATATATATATATATATATAGAATATATATTCTATATATATATATATATATATATATATATATATATATGTGTGTGTGTGTGTTAAACTGAGTGTGTACAGAAACAAATTCTGGAAGTAAATTATAATATGTTCAATAGTGTGACTTAACCACAAATGACCATATTTATGCAGGTGGTCAAATGAAGGCAAAGCACATAATCAAGTCACATGATTGATATATACATATGATGATGTGGCTTTAACCAAAAAAATGTCAAATAAAGCAACTTGCCATATTGAGTGAGCATCAGTAAAAGTGTTTAAGCACCCCATCCCCCAACCGCCACCCTTTCATACAGTCAGTAGATGTAATTAGTTCCATGACTTAAGAAGTCACATCCCAAGTTCTGACTGCTCTACAACAAAGATTTCAAATAAAGTAACAACTCTAAACCAGGAACAGAAATCCAACATTCCTACTACAAAACTACAAAGAACACAATCCACAGTCAACCTGTGAAAAGAATTTCTTTTTTTTTTTTTTTTTAATTATTGATGATGTATGAAAAACAAAATTATCATAGCCTGAATATTTTTCTTTTACTATTTGTGATAAATTCAACTTGTACATAATCCATGTTAAATAACAGTTTAATAAAATAAATTTAGTAAGTAGAAAAATTTTCAGAGATTTTGCTGTTTTAGAGAATTCTTTAATGTAAAATATATGAATGCAATTCCCCAACAATTAATCTTAACTTTTTAAAAATGTCATTTTTGTTAGGATAAAAAAAAAAAAAAATCAAATTTAAATTTAAGTTATTAAAAAATGAAGTTTTCTGAGTTAATAATTATTTTACTTTGAGTTTCCGAACTAAAAAAAAAAAAAAAAAAAAAATTTTCAAATTCTAATATTCCATTATCTTAAATTCAAGAAATTTTATATCAATGGCATATCTGAAAAATGTTTTTAATTTGAACTTTTAAATTAAAATTCCAAAATGATAACCAAGATTAAAAAAGATTTAATCATTGAAATGATTTTTAAAAAAAACGAAACAAATTTTTGACCAAAGAAAAATACTTTTAGAAAAAAAAAAAAAGTTTCCAAGAAATAAGCTTTACCTACTTCTATGTAGATTTCTTTACCCCCAACTCACAAAAAGAAAAATGAAAAAAAGAGAGAGGAGCTCACCCTGTTGGATCATTAATACAGTTTTGTGGGCAAATCAGATTGTCAATGTGACCGCCAGCCACAACTGAATTGTGATAGTTTTGCATTAATGTGTAACCAATTTCTGGTGGACAAAATGGTTCATTGCAAAAGAACAAAATGGCTTTGACATCTTTGTCTTCTGGAATGCTGCTGAACTGTAGGCCGCTACCCGGTTCAAAAGGATTGTCAACATTTGTGGCATAAGTGTGGATGTCAATTGTGAAAGTGTCAATGTCCAAACCATCCAGTTTTGGTATAAGCAAATATGACAGCGATTTTTTACCTTCTATCTCATGTGAGTGAGTTGCCTGCGCATTCGTTCCTGGAAAACCACAAGAACAAAACCAATAAAAAGAAATGAAAACCAATATTAGTATTTGTATTAAACAATTTCTTAATATTGCAAAATCTAAATATTGCTTGAAAAAGTGGAAACCTGTGGTACCTATCAAATGAAATTGGTGGAATAATTGCTCCTAACAGCCATTTTGGGAGATCAGCTCATCCTCAATAAAGAGGATTGTTGATAAATATTAAATTGTTCAAACCCAAAAAAATTTACCAAAAAATCTTGATTGTTTTTGGCCTATTGTCCAACTATTTGTTTTGATAATTAATTTCAAGATAAATTTTTCATGGATAACGTTAAAATTTACTAAAAAACAGAAATAGGAAGTTGTAATGCATATACCTGGATATGTTGGCTGGTGTCAGCCATAAATACGAACTGATGAATGGAACAAATTACTTGCTAGAATTAAGTAGTCAAAAACCACTTTTTGCTACTTGAAGAAATATATCCCTTTCGGGACATATATCAGTTGGCTACAAAATGACCTCAAAAAAAAAAAAAAAAAATATTATATATATATATATATATATATATATATATATATATATTTTGAATCTAAATCGCCAACTGATATATGTCCCGGAAAGGGATATAAATATATATCCAACAACAAAAGCGAAAGGTTTGAAAAGTTTTTTCCATCATTTTTGTTTTAACTTCAAACAACAGGCAAAAGAACTATAAACTTTACAGCTTTCCAACAACAAGGGAAAAGTTCTTCAAACAACAGGCAAAAAGACAATAAATCGCTTTTATATCTAGGACAACAAAAGAACCGGGATCTAGATTTTTTCTGCTGAAGGAATTTCAAATTCACTTTCTGAATTTAAATACGACCCTGACAGTGGTTCAATGTTTCCGGCTTATTTTCGTAGGTTTGAAACAATATTTATGAAAAGATGCGAACAATGGTCCAACGAGGAAAAAACCACACTATTGTTGCAGAAGTTAGGAACAGAAGAAAATACAAAACACGCAAATTTAATCCTCCCAAAGAAGCCAGAAGAAATTACATTCAGCAAAACAGTAGAAATTTTCGATTAAAAGAGATAGACACTTGTATTGTGTAGGAAACAGACTAAGTATCGTAAAACAAGAGGATGATGATTTTGTCATGTATGCAGATATGGTTAACACATATTTAATTTAAAGGAATGTTCAAGCGTCTAATTTTTGTGCAGGGTCTAACGACACCGAAGAACAAAGAAATTAGATCAAGAATCTTCACTATCATGGAACAGGATCCGAAGATTACGCTACAAAAGATAATGGAAGAATGTCAGCGACTTATAAACATAAAAAAAGATAATACTCGGATTGAGGAGAAGAGCATTTCGCAAGTACAAACTCTAAGACAACAGAAGTGGATACAAAATGAAAGAAAAATTATATGCAGTTCGTGTGGAGGACAGCCTATAAAGAAGGATTGTTTCTTTAGGGATAAAATATGTTTTAATTGTGGGCATGTAGGCCATAGAAGTTCCCAGTGTCGGGCAAAACAGAGAAAAGTAAAAGCAAAGTCTCAAACAAAGGTGAATGTAGTTTTACTTAAAAACGAAATTGAGGAGGGTGAAAGAAGAAAATACCTCAATGTAAAAATAAATGGGCAGACAGTAAAATTATTACTCGATTCAGGAAGTGATATCTTGGTAATAAACGAGCAAACATGGAAAAAAAAAAATCGGTTATCCGCCATTGACTAACACAGACAAAATTGCCAGGGGAGTGTCAGGAAAAAGAGTTAAGTTTAGAGGTGAATTAAAATGTAACATTTCGTTCATGGGAAAAATTCACAAATCGAAAGTGTATGTGCTCCCTGGTTCAGTAAACCTCTTTGGTTTAGACTGGATCGTATTGTTTAATTTATGGGAGTTGCCGGTGAATTCTTTCTGTAACAAAGTTAATGTCATCGAGAACTATAACACTAAGCAAACAGAAAGATTTATTACAAATTTAAAAGGCAAATTCCCTCGCGTCTTTTCAAAAGGACTAGGTCTGTGCACAAAAACAGAAGTCAACTTCGAATTGAAAGAAAATGTTAAACCAATCTTTAAACCAAAGACAAAAGTACAATTTTCAGCACTAGACACAATAAATGAGGAATTTGAAAGGTTGGAGAAAATTGGCATAATTTCAAAAGTTGATTACTCTGATTGGGCGTCTCCAACCATATATATAAAAAAGAAAAACCGAAAAATCAGAGTGTGTGCTGACTTTTCGAAAGGCTTAAATGATTGTGTGAAAGACCATGCATACCCTCTAACGTCTCTGGAGGATATATTCACTAAATTAAATGGAGGTAGAGTGTTTTCAAAGTTGGACTAGTCAGAGGCTTACCTTCAGGTTAAAGTCAGTGAAGAATGTTTGAAGTATCTGACAATAAACACGCATAAAGGAATTTTTAAACTAAATCATCTTCCTTTTGGATTGACAGTAGCTCCAAGCCTATTTCAGCAAATAATGGACACAATGTTGGCTGGTATGGAGTATGCAATCGCATATTTAGATGATATTTTGATTAAAAGTGAAAACAAGACCCAACACAAAACGCATATTAGAGTGGTATTTCAGAGAATTGAGGAATAAGGGTTCAAGCTGAGTGCCGAAAACATGCGAGTTCTTCTTAAAGAAGATAAAATATCTAGGGCAAATAATTGACAGTAAAGGAAGAAAACCGGATCCAGAAAGGGCTGAGGCTATAAAAAATATGCCAGCACCTGATAATGTGGCCAGGCCTTCTTGGGATTAGTAAGTTACTATAGCATTTATATCCCAAAAATGTATGAAATGAGAGCTCCTTTAAATAATTTGGTTAAAAAGGGCACAAAGTGGATATGGTCGAAAGAATGCGAACAGGCTTTTTAAAAAATAAAAAGCTGTTTATTTGCAGACCTATCGTTAGTGCATTTCGACCCGAAGAAGAAAATCATTGTAGCAGCAGATGTCAGTAATGAGGGACTAAGTGCGTTATTGCTTCATAAATTCGAGGACGGATCTACGAAGCCAATAGCTCTTGCCTCAAGAACGTTACTGCCTGCGGAACAAAGTTACAGTCAAATAAAAAAAGAGAGTTTAGCAATGATCTACACTGTAAAAAAATTTCACAGGTTTCTATATGGAAGAGAATTTATTCTGCAAACAGACCACAAACTGCTGTTAACAATATTGGGTTCAAAAAAAGGCATACCAACTCACACGGCAAATTGACTACAGCATTGGGGTGTAATTCTATTGAATTATAATTTCAAAATAGAATATGTGCCTTCAAAGAAGGTAGGTCACACCGATGGGTTATCAAAATTGATACCTAGATAAACGGAACCACTGGAAGAAACTGTAATAGCGGCACTAACAGACAAAAGTGAATTGTTGGGTCTGTTATGCAACACTATTAGAGAACTACCGGTTATGCTGGAAGATATGAAAAAAGCAGCGGTGAATGATGATTTCATTAAAAAATGAAAAAGCAAGTCTGGTTCAATGAGAAAACTAAAAAAGGAATTAGTGTGTCACTAGTTGTAATGCTGGTTACTCTGCAAAAGAAAATGCTGAAATCTGGGGATTTCGAGAATGAAATCTCTAATGAGAAGCTATACTTATTGGCCAAGGATGGACCAAGACATAGAAAATTTGGTGAAACAGTGCAGAGGATGCCAACTGGTAGCAAGGGATCCACCGGTAAATATTCAACCATGGCCAAAGACAGGTGTTTCATGGACTCGATTGCATATCGACTATGTTGGGCCGATAAATGGATCTTATTACCTGATCATTGTGGACAGTTTCACTAAGTGCCCAGAAAATGTTAAGTGGAGACAATCCGACTGCAACAAATACAATAAACGCACTTATTGAAATTTTTAGTCACTTTGGACTCCCTAAAACTTTAGTCAGTGACAACGGAACGCAGTTTACAGGAAGAGAATTCAAGGAATTCTGTACATCATTGCCCATTGATCATGTGACAATGCCAGTATATCATCCAAGATCAAATGGACAGGCGGAAAAATTTGTGGACACCTTTAAACAAGCGTTGAAGAAAAACCAAGGTGTGGACATGAATTAAAGAAACATTCAGAAATTTTTAGCAGTATATAGAATCACACCAAACCCAAATACGACATCAGGGTTATCGCCAACAGAGTTAATGTTTGCGAGAAAAATACGCTCTGTGATAGACAAAGAAAACTGCTGAAAAAGAAAACCAGATGACTAAAGCCTATAAGCCAGATGACAAAGTTTTTTCCAAGAACTTCAGGGCTGGAAAAATGTATTGGGAAGAAGGAATGATAACCAAAAGAATTGGACAAGTCATATATGACATAAAAGGGGGATAATTTTGGCACAAAAGACATTGGAATCAATTGAGACCCAGACACACTACAGAGGTCACGGAAAATACCGAAGAGATTCCAATGGAAGTCCTGTATGACGCATTTGAAATTCCCATTCCAGTAAGTCAACATTCGCCAATGGAGGTATCCCCGACCTCAATGCCTGAGGTACCATTGTGCCACCACTGCAAGGAGGATTGAGGCAAAAAAGAAAAAAATCAATCGATTTAGTCCAAACCCTAAAAAGAGAAAATATTGAAGTTAAATTTCACAGGAAAATTTAACTCAGGAGGAGGTGATGTAATGAATATGCATACACCTGGGTTCCCCCTCACAGTAATATGATTGGCTGGTGTCAGTCATAAATACAGACTGATGTCGAGGTACAGGATGATGCCTATTGACTACGCATATTGCTTATGCCTATTGCCTACCATTTTGACAAGTACCAGTCCATTACGGTTACCTGTTAGATTGTCCTACTCGGCTACAGTAGTCCAAAACCACTTTGCTACTTCGAACAAATATATCCCTTTCCAGGACATATCAGGAAGAGTTTTTTTTCTTTTTTAAAGTTCTGTCAAAAAATAAACGGAATCAGCAAAAACAGTTCCAATTCCTGCCGAGACAATTTCAGTTCATTTCATTACTCAGTCTCTTCTCTCACCAGCAAAGCAGACAGGATTGTCTAGTCTTGAGTGGCAACCAATCTAAGAGAAGGCTTGTCTTGTCTTGCCTTGGGTGACAATCACTCTAAAAAGAACACTGGTCTAGACTCTAGTGGTACAGCAATCTAGAAGGCTTGTCTCATCAGTGTTGTCTTCATTCGATTGAATGAAGATAACACAATCATGAAATATAATGTCGCTTGGAGTTGACATAATCTTACTAAATTCTGTAGTAAGGATAAAAGGCTTGCTCCCAGCTAGCTCTCTGCCGACAATTTTCAGTGTCAGTATATATGCTATTTGGACGAGTCCAAGTCATATTCTGGAGAGGCGTGTACAACACTTAGCTGGTAACCAATCAAGAAGAAGGCTTGTCTAGCCTTAGATGGCAACCAATTGAGAAGAAAGCTCAACTTGTTTGGCCTAGGGTGGCAACAAATATAGAAGGCTTAGCTTATCTAGCCTCAGGTGGCAACAAATCATGAAGAAAGCTTGGCTTGTCTAGCCTTACTTGGTAACCAATCGAGAAGAATGCTTGTCTAGCCTTGGTTGGTAACTAATCTACTAGTAGTAGGTTTGCTTTTCATTCAAAATTGGAGAAAGCAAAGTGAAGCCATTCCACCGTCTTTTCCAAGAACAAATCATGTCAAAGCACAAATTACAGATATTATAGAAAAGGAAAATGTGAAGAGCCATAATTTAGAGTATAAAGTAGCATAACAGATACTGCCACAGAAAGTGGCATCAGCAAGCAGAGTTCAAATTCCAAGCTAACCTGATCCATTCACTTTTGCATTAATGCCCTTGGGGGTTGGGTAAGGGATGCATAAATTGGTCTCTTATCCTTCCAGGAACTAGCTTTTGATAGCAATCTAAAAGAAGGAAAACTCTGAATTTCAAACTATGGAGAAGACAACGAGAAACCTTTCTTCTATCTTTCCCAATAACTCTTAATAGATAATAATAAAGAAAAAAGACGCTGTGGAGAGCTATGATCGTCTACATGCTGAAGGGACGTGGCATTAGAAATAAAAATAACTTACCAATAATGCCATCAGCTGAAACTGATAAGAAGTTGCACAAATGTGGAAGCATTTGTTTCAAGAAACTGCCAATATCGATACGCATACATTTCGCCATGCGATGGAAACGTGTCATGTGGGTGCTGGGAACTTTGATGGGTTCTTCAAACAGCGATGTTGAACAGAAACCAATGAAAAAAGCCGGTTCACACCAAATATCCTATTAAATTCAAAAAGAAAAAAAATGCAGCTCAAGATAAGATTAATTTTCAGATGTTAGGAGAAACGTTACATTATTCCTTACATTTAGATTAGGACTTCTAACCTTTATTTTAAATGACACGTTTCACCCAACACAATCATCAGCTTTCCTGTGTTGTTGTCTAAAGTTCAGAGCAAAAAAGTTTAATTATTTCTAAGATATTCTATTTTTCATTTCAGCCAATGTCTTCTTTTCAAAACAACAATTTAACAAACCCTTGAACATGACAAAATCTCACAATATGGTTAAGCTGAAGACAAGAGTCTGAATTCTATGCAAAATAATTTAAGAAAGTATCTTCCAAAAATGATGATTATTATCCAAGAAGAATATAATTTGGAATTAGTTCTTTAATGTTAAAAATTTTACACACAAGACAAACATGATTGATTTGTTTTTTTACAGTTTATCAACCCTTTGTGGATTACTTAAAGCTAAAACCTATTTTAGATTGTACGAATAATTCCTTTTTTTTTTCTTTTTTCTTAGCAAGTGAATGTTCCATTAACAATTTTTTGACAATAACAATAATTTTAAAGGACAAAATGCATTAAAGTTTTTTCTTTTCTTTTTATTGGATTGATTTGTGTTTTACAGCTTATCAACCTTTTGCAGTTTATTTAAAGCCAGAAAATAGTTTTAGACTGCAAGAATGTTTTGGAGATGATAATGATTTACTGATACAAGTCCTACTATTTAACTCATAGCTGAGAAAAGGAGATGATTCCTACCTTTGCCAAGAGTATTTACACCTGAGTGAATGTAACGAACCTGACAAGAATACAAACTCGGCTCTCTGCACTTCATATGAGAGAGAGAGAGAGAGACACAAACATGAATGTATGAAGAAATTCATAATAAAAAAAGCAAAACAAATGGAGTTGTTTACTTGTAACAATCCCTTGATTTCTGAAGCCAACAATTCTTCATTTTCTTCGTCATGACATACATATGAATTCCAGCCTAACCTCTGCCGTTGTTTTTTTACTTGCTGTGAAGCCTGTCGCCAAGATTTGCAAACTCTGAAAGTACAAATCAAAAAAATTCTGGAATAAACAGAGAACATGGTACCTATTTTCAAAGACAACAAAATCATAAAACGGATGTTCAAAATTATATAAGGTTTCTTTTACTGTCATAGAAACCACCTGTTTTAGGATAGTTTGAAAAAATGGCCTAGTTCCATCAACATTGGCAAACGTATCAAGGTACGTTTTTCCTCTATGGTTGGTCATCTCTAATAGTGGCAGCCTGTTATAGGGGTTAAAGGTTGAATGAAACAGCAGACAGGAGGAATAATTACATGGAGAAACAATCAATCATTAGTAAAGCCTTTATGTGTGATACAAATGCAAGATTTATTCAAATCAAGGAATAAAATAAATGCAATCATTGCTCCTGAAAGTAACAATGGCCCAGTGGATAAAAGCATTGGTTGACTGACCCAAAGAGTTGTGAGTTCAATCCTTGACCTCAGCAGAGAGAACAAAAACATGGAGAGTTATCAAAGCAAATTAACTAAAACCGAGATATCCAAAGGCATGGCACATGGAATTAGAACAATCTAGCACTCTGGATTAAATAAAGGGCTTGGTTTGAAATTCCTACAAATATCACATGAAGAAGGCCAGAGCATACAATGGCTGAAATGTCATGAATGTAACAGTAAAGATGGGGAAAACAGTTTGAACAATAAAAATAGTGTAAATAGTTACAACAGCTCATCACAGAAATATAGACAGATGTTTAAACAAGTTTTGCTTTTGAAATATGTTGTATAGAAGTAAAGTTCACTGCCGACACTGTCGTTTGAACATACATCGCCAGAGAGCAAACACATGCAATCCCATTTTTGAATAAGTAGATCACGTGATGATAAAGGAAATATATATATATATATATATATATATATATATATATATATATAGAATTAGTGTGGTATCTAATCGATCACCATTTCTATTCTATCCTCTATTACTATACAGATCACTATTCTCTATTCAGATCACCTCACGGATTACTATTCGGTGGTTACTTATTTGAGTGAGTGTTATTCAAAGACATCTGACACCAGTATTGTTCAACAGCGTTAATATAGTTGTATCGGCGATTATAAAGTCTCTACTACAACAAGCATTATGAAAAGCGACAAGGAGTGTTCGTTGACATCACAAAAAATATTTTACCCTTCATACAATAAAACATTTCTTTTATGTATTTTTAAGTTCACTCAATAGCGAATAAAAAAATCTATTTTCTTTTTGTTTTTAAAGAGTTCACTATAAAGAGAATAAAGAAAGATTAATTCAATAGACACTTTAGGAGACAGAGACAGTTGGGGGTACACATAGTATAAAAAGTTAGAGCAAAGACACGTGACCCATTGAGTAGTTGAAAATCTCCAAGACAAAATGTTCAAATTCTTTCATAAGTCTAGACTGACTCACAGCGGCATGAGTTTTTGTTTTAGGCATAAAGATTTTCTTATTGGCTAAAACATTTTTAATTCTATTTTCTGTTCTAATGAGAAGTAAGTTTGATCCACTTGCAGACACACATTTCTGCTCACTTAAAATTAAGCTGTAGAATCGTCAACTTCTGCTTTCACATCTTGTTCACTTCACCTCCTTTCAAATCAATGTCATGGTACTGTCAAAGAAATGGATCACCAGTATTCATAAAATGTCAGAAACTGAAGAATGCCAGGGGTCAACAAATGGAACCGGGAAACACTAACTAATAAATGGTTACATTCTAATGAGTAGTACTCTACTTATGGTGAAACTATTCTTATATTTTTTCATGTCTGGTAACCGGATATCTAAAAGTTGATATTGTAAGGAGGCAAGGACCAATTATTTCCTTTGGTTTTAATGAAGATGTGAGGGTCACATGATGGCCAATGAGTGACATCAGTTGATAGAATGTCTAATGCCAGTTTTAATACATCCTGAAGCAAGATGTCTGCCCACACCATTTGCTATATAGGCACAGAGAAGCAAGACATGATAGCCCATGACAGTTAAGTGAGCAGAAGAAACTCTTTCGCCCCTTTCACACTGTGGGTTACCCCCTTCTTGGCTTCACTAAGAACACCTATTGGAGGGCAGGGGGCCTCTTTAGGTCTATAAAAAGTCAAACTTTTCCTTCATCATTCTCTTTTACTCTAGCTCCCAGATGTAGATGAATGTAGATAAAGTACTGCTGAGGAGCATTCACTTCCCTAGTCTTCTGTTGACTTTTGAACTCTCACCCACATGTACATATTTCTATCTCTCACACACACACATTCTTAAAAGCTAGTTTTAAGGCCTTTTCCTTTCATTACAATTGTGTACACATGCAAATACTTTTGTTAATATGTTGGAGTTAACTCCTCCTTCAGTTCATTAACCCTTTCACCAGGGGTCTCTCTTCCCTGGCTATAAATAGCCGCTGACCCATCGCCTCTATCTCTCTTTTTCCTTCAGGCCTGTGCACCGACACCTTGAGGTAAATCTCTCTTTTTTCCTTCAGGATTTCAGCTATCAACCTCGAAATGTAGGCGCTAACAAGGGATAGCGTGGAAACACGCTAAGCACAATACACACACACGTACATACAGAATATTCACACACACGAACGCACATACAGAATATTCCCATACACTTCATCCTTTGTACTGTTTCCATGTATTGTAACTTGTTATTAATATATATTTGTATATACATATATTATCGGTCTTGTGTTTTGTTTGCTTTCTTTGCCTTCTTCTTTGGACTTAATCAAAGTCCAACCTTTTTATGTAGTTGGGCCCGGCGGGCAGGAGAATCTGAACCTTACATGCGTTTCTTCTACGTCTGACTTCTATCAACAACATAACAGTCACGGCCCTCTACAAATACATACATTAATTGTTGTTTGTTTAAATTTTCTTATTTTTACATGAACTCACATGAGTTTACAAATATTGTTTGTGAGATAAATGTTCCAGAAGCATTAAACATTTACTATAAATTGTCTAAACACCTCACAAACAAAGAGGTGATATCTGTAACAATAGTGTTTGTTGTATACATATGTTATAATTTCTGTATGTGGGACAAATTAGTGACAAGTATGTATGTATCTGTATAAAAAACTTTGAGAACAATGCATGTTTATATTTCCTTTCTTCCAGATATTCCATTCCATCCAAGTAAAAAAAAGTTTTACTATATCGTGGATATATTAATATCTATAATGGTGGAAATGCTAACTGGGAATATTGTTTCTTTCATAGCAACTACATTAATATGCAATTCTCTTTCATACATCTTTTACAATAATTTCTTTAGTATACTTGTCAGTGGATATATAAAGCAAACAAGAGTGTCCTTCTGATAATATGCATTAATTTATAAACCTTTGACCTCCTGGGGGTTGTGGAAAATAATAGCATTAATGTTCAGAAAGATTTTTAGATTACTAATGTTCTTATGTTTAGTAAACAAAAGATGAATACACTGATCTAACATTAGATAACCAAATCACAAAGTGACCAAAGTATTAAAAACAAAATCTGTGATACAAGCAGGAATAGCTGTGATAGTAAAGTATTGATAATCAGGAAATGGCATGTTATTTTAAACAATCTCATTAGTCTGAATATACAATCTTCAGAAATATAGTTCCAGTACAATACAGTAAACATTCTTAGCATTTAACTAGCATCTCTCAGACACACCTCTCTGAATATTCCCCCTTGAGAGAGAAGTTATGGGTATGTTTTTTGTTGTTATGTTCACGAAACAATGATCACTGTTAAAAAAAATAATAGTTGCATAAAAAAGAAAAGAAAGGAAAACGTATATGAATGATAACCCAGAAAGATTTTTAAAGTTCTATGTCAGCAGTTTGACTATTTACTAATATAGTAAATAGACAATCTGATGACACAGAACTTTTTTTTTATCTTAATTTTAATTAAAAATATTAAACTTCTTTTTTTTTTTTTTTATTTCTGTCATTAAATTAAGATGGAAACTCTATTCAAGGGAGACAACTGAGGTTTGGGGGTCTTGTCGGAATTTCCGGTTTTAGTTGGCCCAGATCTTTCTTTTTCTTTACGAATATTTTTTGTTTTGATAAAATAAAAAGAAAATAAAAAGTATGTTAAGAAGATTAAGTTAACATCAACTTAATACAGATTTTAATAATAATTCAACGAAAAGTGACAAGAGATACAAAAAAATGTTTGGTAAAATAAAAATATAGTTACTCAACTGTGGAATTAAAAATGAAATGATGAGAAAATTTTATAAACTTTACTACTTTTAACTACAACCTTTTTTTTTTTACAGATTTACTCAATATAATATTGCTATTAAATTTAAGAATGACAAATAAATAATATCGAACAATCCATTTATCATGAATTTAAAAAAAAATCACATTAGTCTGTCAGAGATTCACGAATGTGACTGTTTTTAAAATGTCAAAGTGTGGTCTTCTTCTCCAAGGACATTATTTTTAAAATGGCACATCCCTTCAGGGCATAGGCGATCGGGTTTTTTTCTTTTTCTTTTTTAGTTTCATTTTTTTATCATCATCTTTTTCTTGAATATCTGTGAATTGTCAAGATAATGGAGTGGTTTTATTCTGTTTACCTTCTCCAAGGTTTTTAAATTCACAGTTGTCATTCGTCGAACTCAAGTCCAGCCTACGTTTTTAAATGTTAACAAATTATATCGACAGAATTTAATTACAAATAATTTCTAAATAAATTCTAAATAAATTATTTAAAAAAAAAATACTTTCCAAGAATCGTAAATTTAAAAAAAACAGCACTTTTTTTTATCATTTTGATATGAATTTTCTTTTACTCATGATCGAGATCTTCAAACATGAAGTAAAATTTTTTTACTTCATGCTTGAAGTAAAACACATTTTTTACTGTAAAAATGTGTTTTTACTTCAAGCATGAAGTAAAAATGTTTTTAGATTTTTATTTTAAATCTGGAATTACAAAGGTTTTGTTCAGATTTTTTTTTTTTAATTTGTT